ATGTGTATAGTTTCATTTTACGGTTATAGATACAAATAATACATGTCACATAGATATAATAAAAATGTCTATTTTTTTCAAATAAAATATAATTGCCTCTATTAAATCTATACAATATTTTACTATTACCAATATTTTATCAGGTTTTAAAAAATATGAACGAAATGGATATGTCAATAGAAAATACAATGGCGGTAAGTATTCTTATGCTTATTTTGTAACTAATTATATTTTTAAATTATATTAAATATTGATTTTCTTTAGATTTTAGATGTAAGTGAGCAATCTGTAGAACAAAATACAGCATTATATTATTCGAATCAGGTGACATTATCAGAAGTATCAAAAGGAAAAAAGAAGGAAACTTTTGAAAATGTAAATAACTTTAATTTTTAACTTTTTCAGTAAATTTAAACACATTTGTACGTACTAGTACTAGTAAGATTTTTTATACAATCTTTAATCCCTTTTTTGTTTAGAAGATAACTTTAACAGGTTTTAATGGATTTAGATAAAATTTGGTAGGCTCATTTATCATATTAATTTCTCAAATCTGATCAAAGGATTTTGAAAAATACTCAAAAAAAAAAAATTTTATGGTCATTCTTCCAAAAATTTTTAAATACAAAAATTTAAGGTTATATATAATAAAATCGTATTCCTTACGTTAAGACGAATCTATCGATATATATAAAGTATACATTTGAGGTAAATTTAAAGAATTAATGAAAGTTAAAAAATCAAAAATTCATATCTTGGCAATAAAATTTTGCTTTCTCCATGAGGAAGCAAAATGTTCATGTAATGAACATCTGAATTTACAACTTGTTTCCTAAAATTGTCATTTTTTCTTGAAAAACTTGATAAAAAGTAAATCATCAACTCTAATCGTGATCGCTTTTTTTCCCTGTATTTTTCCCGTAAAAATAGTAAAATACATTTGTATACTAAATATGAACTGTCTGGGTTGAATATTGTTTGCGCTAGGGAGAAAAAAACAATTTTTTTTCGAAATTTTTGATTTTTCCTTGACAACGCTATGTAAATTGATCCGAATCAAGTTCGCTATATTTTTCCTGTAATTTTCACGTTAAAATACGTAAGTGTGCCAAATTTGAGCTCTTTATATCAAAAGATGTGGCTTCTGGAGGGGGGTACATAGTCATTTTTAGGCATTTTTCATAAAAATTCATGGTTTTTCCTTGACAACGCTATGATAATCAATTCCTATCAGGTTCGCTATAATTTTCCTGTAATCTACACGCGAAAATACATATGAGAAATTCTTTTTCAATCGCCCCAGCCCAAAAAGTCAATGTTCTGGGATTGACTTCATACTTTGGTAAATTGTTGTCCTATATGATAGTAATAAATCCCTAAAATATAAACGCATTAAAAAAATATTTGTAGAAAGTAGAGGGGGTTGAAGTTTTGACGTTAAGGGTAACATTGTCATTTTCAAATCCGTATAACTATGACAAAAGTTAATGGATTTTAATTTATCTATAATGAATTTTAATGCATTTTTCACGTACTTTTCAAAAATGTATACGAAATTTAAAAAAAAAAATTTTGACCCCTTTTTTTAAAAATCAACCCTTATTTTTCGATTTTCACCCCTTCGGGTATTTTTTTTTTTTTATTTTCATTGGAAAGCTGAGGTTTTTTCCGATGAGCTATGTAAATATGAAAATGGGACAAGAATAATTTTGTGAGAAACAGAATATTAAAGTAGGCGGTGCCGATAAGGGGTATACCTGGAGATCATCTTTGAGGATTTAGGTAGGCACCGCCTAATTTAATATTATGTTTCTCACAAAATTATTGTTGTCCCACTTTCGTATTTACATAGCTCATGGGAAAAAACCTCAGCTTTCCAATGAAAATAAAAAAAAAAAAATTCCCAAAGAGGTGAAAATCGAAAAATAAGGGTTGATTTTGAAAAAAAAGGGGTCAAAAATTTTTTTTTTAATTTTGTATACATTTTTGAAAAGTACGTGAAAAATGCACTAAAATTCATTATAGATAAATTAAAATCCATTAACTTTTGTCATAGTTATACAGATTTGAAAATGACAATGTTACCCTTAACGGGTATACAATTTCAAAAAAACCGATATTAATAGAGTTCCGAACCGAGTACGGAACCCTAAAAAGCAAGTTGTGCGCTAGGCGGAGAATCACCCATATATGAAATTTGTTCATTTTTTCTCAAATTTTTCAAATATGTGCTCAAAAATAACGTATCTATAAGAGAAGTAACAAAAATGTTGAAATTAAACTCAAAAAGTGATTTTTCTCAAAAGAGACACTTTCGATTTTTAATTTTTTTTTTGCATTACAATCTCTGGTGACTGAAGAATTTTTTCCCCTATCTGCGAAAGTGGTACTTTTAGTTTTTAAATTACTATTTTTAATTTTCTTAGTACGGCTCACAGAATTTAAGCAATTATTTTACAAATATAACCTTTTTCCATTATTATTCATTTATTTTTTTTAATTTTCATAAAAACATACTAAAAATCGTTGTGTCGAGCTTAAAAATTGTAAATAGTAACATAAAAACTAAAAGTACCACTTTCGCAGATAGGGGAAAAAATTCTTCAGTCACCAGAGATTGTAATGCAAATTAAAAATCGAAAGTGTCTCTTTTGAGAAAACTGACTTTTTAAGTTTAATTTAAACTTTTTTGTTACTTCTCTTATATACGTTATTTTTGAGCAGATATTTGAAAAATTTAAGAAAAAATGAACAAATTTCATATATAGCATAATTTTTAATTTATTAGTACAATAGATTAAAAACTGTCCCAAAAACACACTTCCATCGTTGACGTTAAATTTCAAAAAATCATAACTTCCTTCACTTTTATAAAATAAAAAAATACGTATATCCTTATTTTTCAAATAGATTTCAAAAAAAATGTTTCGGGGAAAAAAAAATTTTGAATGAAAATCTCCCGTGGAATGCCCCATATATAAAAATAAATATGTTCAATTGTGTTTGTCACATGTTTGTTCTCAACGTTTAAAAATTTAAAAAAGTCATATAGGGTCAACCGGGGTAAATCCGAACGCTTTTAGTAAGTTTCAACAATAACATAAGTTTTTTCTTTAAAAAAAAAATACTTCCGGTATTCTGGTGCATGAAGTTGTTACTTTACTTCCATAGAACAATTTTATGGGGTAGAAAAAATTTTTGATAAATTACAATCGCAGGAAACTTAGCGTTCGTATTTACCTCGATACTTTGCAACTTTCCTAAAATATGGGGGTAAATACGAACGCCACTGTATTTCAGAAAAATCTTAGGGAAAATAAATTTAAAGTATTGAAATTGTTAAACGTATATAAAAACTCAAAAAAAATACGATAATAAACCTATTATGTAATAATGCATCATATATAAATACAAAAATCAAACAGGTTAAAAATTAAAATGCATTACACAATTAAAACCTTCAATAAGTTTATCAAATCATAACGGATTTTTGCAAAACTTGGTACAGAAAGTATTTTGGAGTGATTGAATGTAAATACAAAAATAAAAGTCAAATTTTTTAAATTCAAAATGGCGTACTTTCCTAAAACTTATTTTTAAAAATGATCAAATTTGCTAACCCTGAAACCCCCCGAGTAACAATTTTCGAGCGAATCCAATGAATTTTTTAATTCTCGTCCGCCATTTTGAATTTTGAAAAACTGACTTCAAATTGGTAATTAGCGACCCCAAAAACCGTAGAATACCAAATTTTATTAAGATCCTGAAAAACTTTTTTCAACAAACCATTTGGCAAAAAAATTGAAACACTCCTTCGAGAGAACAGAGATTAAGTTTCTGCTTATTAATTACTAACGAGGATACGTATAGAAAGAAAAACTTTTTTCTATGTACTTTTATAATGTTAAAATAATAGTGTAATCAAATAAAAACAATTTTGTGTGGCTTTGATGTAAAAAAAAATTATTAAAAATACCGTTCGGATTTACCCCAGTTTTCCAATTTTCTTGGGTAAATACGAACGGTCTGATATTATTAATAAAATTTTACAGAAGGCAAAAATGAAAAATAGTTTCTGTTCTAGTATTCATAACAAACAATTATAAATAATAAAATAAATTTTTAGCTTCTTTTTCTTCAAATACGAGACAAAATACTGAAAGAGTGTCATCTTTGATTTTCAATCTTTTTTGCAATACTTGTTATCTTTGTTTATGCTGTTGCTAATTAACAAAAAAAAAATGGGATAATACTTAGAATCTCTTCAAGAGGATCTGAGGTAAAAATTCTCATATCGAACTTATTTTTAAAAATTTTAATTAAGCTGAAATAATTAGCGTTCGGATTTACCCCCCGTTCGGATTTACCCCGACTGACCCTAGTTTCTTAAAAAATAACTTTTTAAAAGAAATTTAATTATTTTCGTATGTTAATAAAATAAGATTAAATGTACTTTTTAAAAAAATGAAAGAAAAAATATTAAAAAATTTTTTTATCTAATAATCCTGTATAACAAAGATTTTTCACGTATAATTTGGTTTTCATAATACAATTTGTAGAATTTTTTAAGAATATTAATTAATTTTATAATTTAAATTGTTATATTTATTTATATTATTTAATAATTTTTTTTATTAATTTAACCTGAAAATATTTAAAAAATTATCTTTTTGTATTATTAAATATTCTAAAAAATTTTTTAATTTTGTTAATATCAGTTACATTACATACCAATTTCTATTACTTGAAGCCGTGTATAAATTGAAAGCATAAGATGTAAATGTTCTAATATTTCGTTTTCAAAAAGTGTAAATGTTCTATGAACTATTCTAAAATATATATTAATAGTATGTATTTGTTAGGTACAATATCAATTTCTATAAGTTTAGTCTTTTTTCCATAAAGTGAAACCATAACATATTATCAAATACTTAGTGGTATGAAAAGTTTTTCTGTGAAGAAATATATACAAGTTCCATATAAAATAAACAAAAACTCACTTGATCACAAATGATGTCCCACTTTTTTTCGTTATCGTATTGTTTTAAAAGCTTTGCTTTGTCTGGTGGCAAATCCATTGAAGCCTAAAACATATAAGAAAATTCAAATTTTAGTACCTATAAAATATTATCCAAAACGCAACACAATTATTAAACAACAACAATAAGTAATTAAATAATTATTAATTCAGAAAAATAATCCTGAAAAAATCTTGAGTTATATAGAAAAATAGTTATTTTTAAAATTAAAAACAATTAAATTTAATACAGTACAATTTCGGTAAGTGTCGGGTGGTCGGGACAGTGCCGTATCACGGTGTCTTCTAATGCTTATTAATCTATAATGTATAATTCTTCTCGGATATAAAAGATTAAATAATAATTTAATATATAATTAGATTAAAATTCAATTTACCTACTTCAAATTCATAATTAAAAACATTATTTTTATTTTATTAATGTCCATTTATTAATGTCCAAAAAGTAGGAGAAAGCCACCCGACACTTACCAAGATGATAGGCGTGGAAAAAATCCGACACTTATCAAACCCGACACTTACCGAAATTGTACTGTAAAATAATTAAATTTATTAATTATAAATATTTTTTCATTTATTTTATTTATTTAATTATATTAATAATTTTAAATTTAGTGTAATAAAAAATTATTATATCTTTCACACAATATCTCAAATCACATTTGAATATTCCCGAGCTGCGTCGAAAGAAGCGCGCATGACAATAAAATAATTCAGACAAATGGCGTATAGGGTTTGTGCCGTTTCGGTGTCTGGAGAAATTTTAATTATCTCCATGTGAAATGAATTGAATTAAATTTTTGTATCCTTTTCTTGTCGAACTATTGGTTGCCAATAGTGGACCAGATTTAATAAATTTTGGAATGATATTGCTATATTAATAAGCATCCAATATTGATTTGTCATTGGCTGCCAAGACATAACGAATATTCAAATTCTTGGTTACTAAATGTCTACTAAGATTGGACAATTATTGAAAACCAATGATTGGTTTCCAATACTGACTCAGTTTTTGTAGCCAACTAAACTTTAAACTGCACCGTGAAAAAAATCACGCCTAATGCTTTTAGCGGTCTGTCAGACCGCTATTCATTTCTTTGTGTTTTTCTAGTGATTTTAAATTATGTAATGACAACTGTCGTATATATTTTTTATTTTTTACATTAAAAAGACTATTTCTATAATATTTTGTTGCAATTTTTTATTTTTATTTATGTTACAATATACTGCTTTTTTCAATTTTTTTTTTTAAATTTTGAAACAATTGTCATCTAATAGATTTTTATATCGATCATTTTCGTAAATAAAATATTTTTCTGTGTAGAATTCGTAGATCGAGAATATTTTTTTTGTAGGCTTGTGTTATCAATGTGTAAAAGAAGCATACAATTTTTTATTTTTATTTTACTCCAAAGGAAATGACTTCATCACATTACGTAAGCATTTTTATGACGTGTACTCTTCTGAATTAATAATATAATTGCTACTTAAACACATGTTACGGAATAAGAGAAATTAATTTTTTTTAAAATTATATAGGTATAAAGTTTTAAGCTAAAAATAAATATATGTAAATTAATTATTATCGCTGGTATCCTCATTCTATTATTTCATTCTCTATATCTAAATAGGGGAGACCGGGTACGGTTGTTACAGTGTCGATTTCTTGTAAGGTAAGTCCGGGGTAGATGGCTATACTTTTTTTAAATGTCCGTAAAAGTAAAACGGAAGCAGTTTATAGATTAATTTTTATTGCTAATGAAACAGGGAACATTATACTTTAAAGAAACAAAAAAATATTTAAAATATTGCAATAATAACAATTTCAAAATTAATGTTTCTTAAACAATGTAATTTGCCATCTCTCCCAAAATGTACATGTAAGATGGCCATAGTTCGCAAGTCTACTGTCAATGTTAAAATTTTGAAAAAATCACAAAAAAAATGATTTTCTCCTTTAATCATAGTTACGAGAGGAACCCACTAGGCAATCTTGGTCAAAGTTGATTTCGACAATTAGTCGGAATGACTAAGGAAGCTTATCAGAATAACCAGGTATCTTAGTTACATTGGCTAGAATCACTTTGACTAATTAAACTTTAGCAAAATTGACTATAGATACATGCGATATTAACCAAACACCTTAGTTAATATAACTAGGAAACAAGGGGTCAATTCTACTAAATCGACTTTGACAATATTAACCAAGCTACATAACTGAATTGACTAGGATGCTTGGTTACGCTGACTAGATTTAAAGTTGCTATGGTTAATAGTCATTAATGCGAAGCAAATTTTTTTCAGTGTACCGTCAAAGTTCAAATAATGTCTAAATATAGATACCGCGAAAGGAAATGTTACGAGAAAATCAAGATTAACTTGTTTAACACATTTTATAAAAACTATACACAAATTCGCACTTTTTAAATTAAAATTGGCTAAAACTGTCATTTTTGAACAACAGAGACTGAGAGCGAGTCATTATCTGGAGCATGCAAAAAGTGCTACTTTGAATGGGACTAAATAGGGAAATTTCTTCACGGATAGTGAGCGACAATGGCTCGCCCACTGCTACCGGTCTACCAATAGAGCGTGCGTCCGAACAAAAATCGAGCCACAATATTATGATATGACAAGCAACAAAAAATATTTTTAATTTTAAACAACCTTTTTTTCAATTAATCTATAAAAAAAATTTTATTTATAATAAGAGTCTTTAAGAGTAACGCATTACAGTTAGTTTTATCTTAAGATTTTTTTCATCGTCGCTGTGAATTTTTTCTTCCTAGAGTGTGAAGTGTAGTTGCCCGGCTAACCACTAAAAAAAAATATTCTAAAATTTAGAATATATTCACGTAAAAAAATATCAAGCCTTTCCAACAGAACACTACCCTAAACTTATTTTGCATCCGCTCTACCGTCATTGTTTGATACAACCAAGCACTGTATTTGCACGGTTTTCTCCGTGTACTCGGTACCTATTCTAAAATGTTTACATGCTATTAAGGTCAAAATCTGATTAAGAAAGAGATTGTACGAACAGACCAAATCCTGACCGAGTTCAGTCAGATCTCGGTTTTCAGAATCCGCCAGGGAGAAGATCGTTTTTCACTTTCAATAAAAATAAATTTTATATTTTAAATATACTCTTGGGAAGTCTATTACATAAAGGTATTTAGCTTCAAATTTTCTTATACACTGAGAAAAAAGATTGTTTTGGGTTACCATTTTTGAGGTGACCATTTTTAGTTAGTAAACTATACTGTTGCTAATTTATTAGTTGTGGTTACTATTATTTTGGTTGGCATAACTATTTTATTAGTTGGTTTAACTAATTAGTTTGTTGGAATGACTATTTCATTAGTTATCTTACTACTAAGTTAATCGTAACCAATAGTTTCTCTCAGTGTAGTAGTCCTATGCTGAACATTCGAATGTGAAAGATTTTAATTAATTAGGTACTTAAAAATTATTTTTACTTTTATTTTATTAAATTAAATGTATTATATGGAAATGGATCAACAAGGGTTGCGAAGCTAACTTTCTAATTACAGTATTCTGAAACAGAAAAATCAAGTTACTTTTCCAATATGCGTAGAGTGGTGAGAGAGTCAAGTGGTTTTATACGCTTGGCAAAGAGAAGGAAAGCACGAGATCGTTCTCAACTAATTTTTGAGGTGGGAGAGGTTGGATTCATATAAACTACATCGTGCGGAACTGACAATGAGCCGGAGAACCTTAAGAGCTCGAAATATTAAAAGGCGCGTCAGCAGTGTGGTCAGTGTATTAGAGAACTCAATTTCTAACTATGTACAAACCTTTCACAGCAACGAAGAGAAGAACATTTTGCATGTATACATATCCCAACGGAATTTACAAATAGCTGACGATGTTTTATTGTATTCAGTTCATTATAAAATAATCAATACAATTTATAAAAAGAAAAAATTCTTTTACATTAACAGTGCGTCTACAATCGTATTCATTAGTTTAAAAAAATTTCATTATTCACAATTTTACACTTTCTATGTAAATATTAATGTAATTCTAAATGATTTCAATAATGTTGTCTTGTGCATTTTTTTCATATTTTCAAACAAAAACTTATACAATAACCGCTTTAAAAATTTTCCAAAGTTTCTTCTTGCTCATCAATTTTAAATTACGAAGATCATCTTTTCACTGTACTATTTTGGTCTTAATTTGTTTACAAAGTATAAATACAATGCACAGGAAACCATTGTATAAAATAGTTTCTTGCTACGATGCTGAAGTTCACAACGTTTATGATCAACGAATTTATAGAAATGACATCTATTTTTTTGCATTGAAACATAAAAGGACACTTTTTAAGCATTTATTTTGTCACACGCACAAGGTTTTATTGCGTCTGTTTTTTTAACAGATGTTCAAAACACGACAAAAATTTGTTTGGTACATTTGACGTTGAGTTGCTCAAAAACTAAAGCCAATAAAATATTTTCAATGTCAGATTCCCTGCTATTAAATAAATATATCAGAAAAAAAATTTTATTAAAAGAAATAAATGCTAATATAAACCTAATAATTCTATTAAGTTAGAAAAATATTTGTATTAATATTTAAATTTTGAACAATTAAAAATGATACAAAATTTATATTTTTTAATGAAAATAACTTAAATATGAGGAGCTGGTTTGAATAACTCGATTTCTGCTCTGCTAGGGGAAGGTGGGGTAATAGGAGCTTTTTTTAAATTTCAAGTACACAGAGACTTTGAATTTCGTGGAAATAACTCGGAAAACTTCAACAATCTTCCTGTATGTCAGACGAAGACAAACGGTCACATTTCTGACAGATTTGTAGAAACTACAAGGAAAAATCAAGTTTTCGAGTTTTTCTTCTTAAATGGAAAATATTTCCGGAGATCATAGTAAATGGTTAAAAATTTATTGTTTAATTATGTTTTGTGATTTTATTAGAGATAATTATGTGTAGATTTAGATACATGAATAAAAATAGAGGTAATTATTAAATTTGTATATGTTTTCCTTCTTTTTTTCAAAT